CATGAGACCCATGGATCTCATTGACAGGTCCTTTTCAAATTCACCAAAAAACTTTATGCAGGAAAAAGGCTAGGTTAACTAGCTATGCTATGGTTTGCTTATTATCTGCCTGTTAAGCATAATCAGGTTTCCTCATAATCAATCATAATCCCCTCACCAACTCACCTTCCTTGGTTTTATATGCTCTCACCTTAGGTGGTTTTTATTTCTTCCTGCATGAGTGAGAGAAGAATTCTCTTCTTTGGACGGCAGAAGCAAAGAGCACAACTTTGGAGTCAGACTAGGGTTTGTGTTCCTGCTCTTTTATATGTGAGTCATAAAACCTAAACTCGGGTGTATCCTCTCTGAGCCTCTGCAAAATGGCAGGGTGGTGATTGGGATTAAATAGGATGCCCATTAAAAGCACCCACCAGTCCCTTGTTAATAATAAATGACCAATATCTTGTAACTATTAGAATTTCTTGCCTTTACTTTTTAATTATAGAATGTCAGTAATGTAGTAAGACTTAAAAACCAACATTCCTTCCAGAAAAAAGTTGTTCTTCTAGCAGCCTTACTTCAAAATCACATCACATCAATTGTCACTTTGCTTCTGTGTTTTGTGTTGACCCAGGTAACTGGGAAGGCGGTGGCCTGGGCCACAGTCCCCAAGCAGAGTGCACTGGGACAGAGTCCCAGGGGCCATCAAGCCACTATTTCTTGTTTGTCACCTCATCTATTTTGTACTAATTCTTTAGGGTTGACCCTTTTTGACCTGTCCCATACCTGTAACTTCAGATCGCAGACAGCCAGGAAGCTTTCCTTCATTTGTCCCAATTGTCTCCATCCAATATTCGTAGTAAACTGGGGGAGGAAATGACACATGAATGATGTTCACAGCAGAGCGAGGAAAGGAGACACCATCCCCCGCGTGGGCATCCTCCGCAGCTGGGCGGGGGCTCGGCCAAGGGAGGAGTTGTTCAGGGGGACTGAAACCCATACCGTCTGCCGAACGGCTTCCAGGTTGAGCTGCTGATCCCTTACAACCTTCACTCCTTTGGAAGGTGAGGGGAATCTGGGTGGAAGTTGGAGGGGAAAAGCAGCACAGGAAGGAAGGAGGAGGCAGAGTGCTTTTTTCCCTCGTTCAAGCTCTGAGCAACTCTTTCTGGGAGATCTTGGTGATTCAGAGCATGCTCTGAGCTCTTGCCTCCTTGGCTACATTATTTCCCCACTCTCATTTACTTTCTGGTCATGACAGCTTTTCAGAAAATTGGAAGACAACTACACAGGAAATCAGAATGGCATTGCTTAGGCCTCATAAACCGCTTTTAATGGCCGAAGGTGCTGTAAGGAAAACACACTAAGTATTTGCATCTGTGGTGTTCTGCTATAAATTCCCAGGGCTGCTCTGTGGTCCTGAATACAGAACATTTCTGTTAGCCCACGGCAGGAATTTAAATGCTTCTGGGAAACAAAATCAGTAAATAATAATGTTCTTCTACATCAGATGTAGCTTATAAATGTGATCAGAAGATTATCCTATAAAAGCAACGCACACATAAATCCTTATAATAAGAGCATTTTCGGGCGCCTGGGTGGCTCAGTTGGTTAAGCGACTGCCTTCGGCTCAGGTCATGATCCTGGAGTCCCTGGGTCAAGTACCGCATCGGGCTCCCTGCTCAGCAGGGAGTCTGCTTCTCCCTCTGACCCTCCCCCCTCTCATGTGCTCTCTCTTTCTCATTCTCTCTCTCAAATAAATAAAATCTTAAAAAAAAAAAAAAAAGAGCATTTTCTAGTGATAGTTTCCAAGATTTTTCATTGTCTCCTGCTCAGTTTCCACAAGTTGGCTTGTGGAAGCTTAAGAGAAAAGTTTTAGATCTTTATCTTATAATGCGTCTTTTATCAAATACCAGAACCATTTGCCAGGTAGAAGGCATTCTTGGGATTGGAAATAGACACAAAGGGAGGTAATCTGCAAATGAATTGATTTTTTCAGTTCACTTATTGATTTGCCATATAAAAAGCTGGGAGTGGACGAGGCCAGTACTCTTTGTATACTATGGAATAATTATTTTTCTAAGAAGACAGCAGGACCTCGTCAACAATTCTTTATGGGTATCAGGTCTAACTTACATTGTACAATTAAGTACCAGGCGGGGATACAAGAAATCAGGTAGCTTCAGTTCTGTACAGCTGAATGAACTTGGCTTCTATATTCCAACATCCAAATGTGTTTACTAAGCTTAGCAGAGATTATAATAAAAGGGGGAAGAAAACTATGGTAGCCAGCAAACTTTTGCTCATTCAGAAAAAGAAGGGATATGAATTCTAAAGTAACAATGAAAAATGTCTCCTTTAGAATATGTCTCTAATTTATTGCCTGCTCCTCTAAATGAGACCCTCCCACCCTCCTTCGCTCCCTGGGCTCTTGGAAAAAGTTCTTGAGGAGAAAACTTTTACCCCAAATAATAGATGCAGCTGAGACCTGGTAATAAATAATTGAGTAGCCCTTCCAGCATCATAGGCTCACTTTGTGCTTTTTCTTACTCAGCTGTGTTGGTCTAGCTTCCCTGAGTCTGAGTACCTAGATCAAAGTACAAGTGATGAAGGATATTCTCCAACAGATCCTGTTCCAGGAACCTGCTCTGCAAATCTCCCCAGTCAGTCTGCAGGTGTTTGTGAGCAGGATGGAAGAAGGTGAATAAGAGTTAATAACAACCAGGGTACCTGGGTGGCTCAGGTCATTATCCTGGAGTCCCAGGATCAAGCCTTGTGTCGGGCTCCCTGCTTAGTGGGGAGTCTGCTTCTCCCTCTCCCTCTGCTCCTCTCCCCCTAGCTCATGCTCGCTCTCTGTGTCTCCCTCTCAAATAAATAAATAAAATCTTTCTTTTTAAAGTTAATAACAACCAACATTTATTAAGCATGTACCATGCACCAGAGGGGTTCTGGCTTTAAATTAGTATCTCATGCAATGCCCATAATACCCAAGAATAGTAATATTCTTCTCATTTTATGGAGGAGGTAAAACTATGTAAAAAAAGTTTGAACAGCCAATAACTGGTAGCATTTATGAATTCAGAGTAGTTCCCTTAACCATTACCCATAGCTAGCAGGAGCTTTTGCATTGGTGAATGCACTAAACCCTCACAATAACCCAACTACAAAACATTATTCTGCTTCCCATTTTTCACATTGGAGTAACTCAGGCAGAGGTGACTCTCTCAAGGTCACATTTAGTAAAGTAGAGGCAGAATTTGAGCCCTTCCAAGGCTTATGTTCTTTCTACCACTCCACATTGCTTCTGTGAAGCATTTGGCATGCATATTTTTAAAGAGATCCAGTGCCCAACTTTGTATTTAATAAGGCAAATATAAGAGGAAAACATTCAGCTAGTCATATACTCTCTAGCTCTATCCATGTGGTTGTCAATGGCAAGATTTCATTCTTTTCTATAGCTGAGTAATATTCCATTGTATGTATATGCCACATCTTCTCTATCTATTCATCTATTGATGGACACTTGGGCTGCTTCCATATTTTGGTTATTGTAAATAAGGCTGGAATAAACATAGACGTGTATATATCTTTTCAAATTAGTGTTTTTGTATTCTTTGGGTGAATACCCAGTAATGGAATTACTGGATCATATGGTAAGATGAAGGGGATTAAAAGTACCCTTAACTTGATGAGCACTGAGTAATGTATAGAATTGTTGAATCACTCTCTTGTACACCTGAAACTAAGATAACACTGTATGTTAACTATACTGGATTTAAAAGTTTTTAAAAAGAGACAGAGAAACATTCATTAGACCAAGAGATATAATCTTAAGATTCTGCCCTTTTACTTGAAAGGGGAGAGTGGTTGAGGGGTTGTGTTGGCAAGGAAGGGAGTGGGCTTTAGTTTTCAAAGAAGGTGTTGTGGGAAAGGAATTTGTCTCTGTAATTTACAGGAGAGATGGGAGGATATGCCCAGGCTGCTAGGAGAAGAACTTTTGCATCAAGTACAATGGTAGTGGCTGTCAGTAATGGAAACCTCAGTACGGGAACTTAACTAGGAGCTAATGTTCCCCATAGACAAGGAGCCTAGTGGTAGGAGACTTCAGGTGTTGTTCGGCTGCTCAAAGCTGCCCCTGGAACCAGGCTCTTTCTTCTTTCACCCCTCCTCCCTTACCATGTTGGCCTTCTCAATGAGAATCATAAGACATCTGCCATGAAGTCAGGAACACAAGGGCAGAGGCTGCACCAGCCACACTGGTCTCATGTGAGCAGAAAAGCAAGAGCTTTCTCAGACCCTTCCTCACCCGCAGCCAAGCTCCACTTCAATCTCATCAGTTAGCAGTGTGTCCCATGGCCACCCCAGCAGGCAGGGAGGCTGGAGAAAAAGCAAGTGCTTACCTGCACCCCTGGCCCCCCAGCAGAATTGCCTCCCATATGGACGGGACAGTGTGTGAAATCGGGAGGAGAGTCTGCCTTGGTTTGGGAATGGAGAGGAGTTAGGGCAACAGGGCTGTAATTGGGAGCAGGAAGGTGAGCTTGATGAGGAGGAATGTGGTCGTGGCTTTTGTATCTGTCATTACACTGAAGAGGCCCTAGAGTATCACATCAATGCTCTAACCTTTCCCTTCCTCATCCTGTTCTTGACTCTCTCTTCTTCCTGCCCCAGGCCCAGACCAATCATCTGACTCACTGTCTTCTTTTAATATCAAATTAGATAAATCATTGCTCAATTAATCAATGAATTAACGAGATGAGGAAATTCCAGGCAGATATCAGCTGGTGAGGGCCTCCGCAATGGGCAGGAATTGTCCCTGCTTCAGAGGAGAAAGTTCTCAGGAGCCTGTGGAAGGGGTCTGGAGGTCGTTATAGAATCCTCACATACAAATGTTGGTGTCGCAAGCTCTGACAAGAAGAATCTGAGGAGGTTGAGGACTCTTGGGTCTTGGATCGAAATGACTTTCTACGACCTTGTTGCTACTTCCTGTGATTACAGCTCCACGGTTTCCTTCTTTATCTTCACAGAGCCAGCTCTCCCAGGCGCTGAACGGACTATCAGACAGGGCCAAAGAAGCCAAGGAGTTTCTGGTGCAGCTCCGCAACATGGTCCAGCAGATCCAGGTATCGGCAGCACCTGAGACAGAAAGCAAATGCCATGGGTTCAGATGTAGCTGCGTTGTGGGGAAATTTGTTTCTTCTACTTTTCTATATTGTAGGGAAATTCCAGTTATTATTTTCTGCTCTGTCTCTTCTAATACAAACACATGTACAGATCAGCTTCAAGTATGCCCCCTTCTCAAGGTGGTTATATTTTGCCAACCAGCCAGCAACACAACTTGGTTTTCCAAATAGCTCCTGTCTTCAGCACTGAGGTCCTAATTCTCTACTACTGTGGATTTAGAAAGAGATCTCTTTGTGAATTCGGAGTCATAATTGTTGAGTTTTTAAACTCTACAGGTTTGCAAACCACCTTGCAGTAATTATGTCTTATCCAATGGTAACAAAGGGGTCACATTTTCCCCTCCCTCCCTTCCTTCCTTCCTCCTTCCCTCCTTTCCTTCCTTCTTGCCCATAGTAATGCTTCTTCTCTACTTAGATACTTAAATATTTTCCAACCAAGATACCCGCCCGGGAGCTATAATTTCAGATTGCTTTATTTGGACACAGCGACCCACAGATCAGCCAGCATTTGAGAGCTCGTGAATTCTCCACTATTGCTGAAGGGAAGAAGCCATAAAATGCACGAGATGCTTAAATAATGACCTTCTGCACTGTTTACTGTTCTTACATTTTGAGATTGCCTCACAGAAATAACCTTCCCTCTGGCCTCCAGTAAATTGCTTTCTGAGTTAATATTTAACTCATGTCAAGGTAGAAATATCTTTTTAAATGTAAGCCAGCCTTTCAAAGCCTCTCACACTGATTTCTTCACCCTTTTTTGCATGCATGTTCATGTTAAAACTTTTGATTCCCTAACAACCTAACAGTTGGACACTTCCTTCTGATTTCCAGGCCAGCAGAGGTTATAGGTCAGTCCTTTCTTTGCTTTTGCCTCTTCAACAGAGCAAAGCTTTCTTTGTGCTCTACATCAGAACCTGTAAGAAGGCTGCCCTCATCCTCCCAATATTACCCTGCATGGGACATAGAGAGCTCTTAAATGATGTTTTCTATAGGACTTCTCCGAGTGCTCAAAAGCAATTGTCAAAGCAATTGTCATGAAAGCCAAAATTTCACATGTAGAAGTCATTGCTCTAGCAATTACTAATGCACACCTTAAACAAAGAAGACCTTGCATTTGAGAAGTTATCAGATACCTATCAGTATGTCCTCATATTGAGAGACACAGTTCTTTATGATTTGGGGAATAAATTAAAATTTGATAGGCTAAGCTGTTCTTTCCTTGCCAAGCTTACAGTTGACTCAGTTGGATGCTATTTTTTCAGTGCTATTCGTGTATATGTGAGAATTCATCTTCCATTTGCTATAAATTACAATTGTTTTGCAGATTATGGTTTGACACTCAAAATTACATATGTAACGTACTGAAAAGATGACTGTTCATAAATGTTTATGATTTAGTAGAGAATTGCTTAAAAGAAATGTCTACGGCATGTATAGGTTTAAATCAAGTAAATAGTTAGATCCGGCATTCAATTTAAACATCATGGAGAAGCTATAATTCATTTAGAATATGGTTAGCTTTCTCCCACAAGCGGTTGGTTCATGGCTTGACTTTTACAGCTGGGTGATGACTGTTACATATACTAATTGTTCTTGACCGCCTATGTGCATTAACTGTTTGCTTTCCTTAATGAAAGGAGCGAGTACTTTTGCCCATGATTATTCTTATAAACTTCTGTTGTCATTGGATTATTGTTTAAAACATTATTGAAGACCACTGCCATCCTCTTTCTTCTCTCTCCTCTTGAATTGAATGATTCTTTAACTCTCATGCCTCCACCATACCCAATCTGTTCAGGCAGCCAGCCTCTCCAAATGCCACCTTCCACCATCCATAAGTGGACATACACCAGCCCTCAGAAGAATTCATGTTCAACTCTACAAACTAAGCTTTATTTTACACAATATAATGTGAACTGTGGAGATGATTTCCTTTTGGTAAAAATGAATTTATTAAGTAATATTTATCCTTCTCAATGTAAAATTCAAGAGGACACTACCACTGTAGAATGAAATTGATCCGGTTATTTTAAAAAGGCTAAATGTGCATTGTAGACAGAGTTCTTTTCATCTCCTTCAGCAGGGATTTCCACCCCACAAATGGACAGGGGAACTCTATTTTTTCTGGCATCCCAAGGAGCGCAGGTACTTTGGGGCTAAGATATGTACTGTCTCACACAGGAGAACAGCGTGGAGTTTGAGGCTTGCCTGGTAGCCCAATGTGATGCCCTCATCGATGCCCTCAACAGAAGGAAAGCCCAGCTGCTTGCACGTGTCAACAAGGAGCATGAACACAAGCTGAAGGTGGGTGCTGTGCCATGGGGAGAGCAGAAAGCTGAGGAGCCAGGCTGGCCTGATTAGGGTAGAGGGAGAGGTGAGGTCTAACTACAGGCTCTCTGGTGGGGTTAGGCAGTCAACAGCATGGAGCTTCAATAGTGGGCAGCAGAGAATGGATACGACCTCAAGGGAGCTCGTGAAAGGCCCCATAAGCATCAGATACCCCCAGCAGGTTTGGAACAGGCTGTAGTCCCCGAAGAACAGGGGAAGGCCCATTTCTAAACAAATGGGATTCCAGTAGGAGAACCAAGGAAGAGTTTCAAAGTGAAGAAATAAGAGAACACAGCTTACAAGATTTGGGACTCAAGCTTCGTGGCAGGGAAGCTTCAAGCCGAGCCAGTACCCATCTTGTGGTGACCAGAAACAAGGCAATAAACTAGTTGCTACCTAGGGCATGAGTCCTGGGCAAGACCCACAGTAAAACCGGCAGTGCTGAGCCCTGAGCAGCAGAATCACCAATCTTCCAACTCTACTGTGTGCCTCAGCCACACACTGGGACCCTGAGCTTTGGGGGGGGGGGGGGGGGGGCTGCTGCCAGAAGGCAGGGGGCCAGGCAGCCTGATCTGGAACAACTGCTCCCCAGGGAAACGTAACAGTTTTCTCCAAAAGTAAGAAAACCCCAATCTTGCTTCCTCCTCTCAGAGGCTCCCCCTTCCACCACCCACCTGCTGCAAACACAGGTAGGGCCAACACCTGCTTCTTCCTTCCCCAAAGTCAGGGCAATGATGTGGCTGGCATATAAACCTTTCCCCCCTGCCTCAGGTGTCACGCTGAGAGGGCCTGTGGAACTGCACCAGGCAGGAGGCAGAGCAGGCATAACAAGGTCCAAGCCGGAAAGCACTCCTGAGGGCTATGCCCCGTGATGAAGTCTGCTGGCCTGGCCCCCTCTGGTGCTCAGTCAGGGCCACGGCTCTCTGAGCGTCCCTGAGGAGGCAGAGGCGGCACACGCAGATTGGGCACACAGCAGATGCCCTGATGAAGAAAATTGCACGGCTTGAAGTTAAATCCGACGCAGGAGTTGGGCAAGAAAAGTGCACAGGGCTCTAATGTTCTGAGAACCTCAGCCTGTTGGTTTGGACAGGAAACCAAGGCTGCTGATGGTAACACTCCTTCCAGAGATGCCATTACTGTTTCTTAGTGGTGGGTCTAAACTGGAAGACCCTCTTCGGTTCATCGTAGAACGGATTCAAACCTGTTTCCGTCACCTGCTCTGACATTACTAACAGATGGCCCCTATAGCCCTTCATTTCACACCCTTCAGAAACCTAAAACCTTTACTGTGACAGCGGAACTCAAATACCCCTTGAATCACACGGAGCTCTCTAAGGTAAAACCACAACCGCCTATAGGAAATGAGCTGGGCGGCTGGATTTTCCCTCTCGATAGCAGACCAACCATTTTCGTATGTAGTCACCAAACGTTAACTTTTCCTCAGTGGAAAACTCTTTTTTAAGACATTGCAGACACTTTCTTGGTATCTTCAAACAGAACACGGTGAACCATTTGTGATCAGCCATACGGCGCCTATGGCGGCCACTGCAGGTTTTCTGCGTGGGGGGCCCTAAGGGCAGCGGTCTGGACAGAAAGGGAAGCGCAGATTGAGAAAGCATCATTTATCCATATCGAACAGCAGGAGAGGGGCGTGAGGGCCCCCAGGAGCCCCGCTTAGTGCCATCCCTGCAGGCTGGGACTGTGTGAGAACCCGTTATAGGCTGTGCTGGGGGCGCAGAGACCGCCCCGGAACGGCTGCTCCTCACTGCCAAGACTCCAGGTCCGGCGACCGTCTGTCTGTACTGGTGACCGCCACAGAGCGGGGCACCCCGATGCGCCCGGGGCTTCGGAGCAGAGGCAGCTGCCTGCTCTTATCCCACCCTGCCCAGCATGGAGTGCCCTGCCCCAGATCCCGAAGGGCCATGGAAACAAGAGGCAGGTGGCTGGTTGTCCCCCACGGCAGCAAAGCTGCTCTGTCTTCTGTCGTGAGCGATTTGTTTCTCTGCTGTTTTCAGCGGATTGTGTGTCACTGCTAAAAACCGCCAGAAGCGGACGCCAGCCTCCAAGTCTCTCTCCCTCCCTCTGCTTTTCTCCTCCTGCCTTTCCCCTTTCTTATCATTTCTGTTGCTACTCAGATTTGTGAGAAAAGACTGGCCTTTTATAGACATCCCTTGCCAAGCACAGTACTTCTTTCTGTCTCTGTTGGCTGACCCATCACTCACAGTCCGGCAGGGATAATCTTATGGTCTTCCGCTCCCCTTGGCAGAGTTCTCTCGGGGCCTGCTTTTCGCTGACAAAGAGGAGAGTTGTGTGTGTATTTTTCTGGCAACTTTCTCTTCTTGAGCAATCCAAAAGGCTGGGGATGCTGGAAAGGGAGTGTGGATAAAGACTGTCTTTATAATCTCCTCATTCCCCTCTCTGAAAGCACGGATTGCTTGAGCAGATTGGATGGTTCTGGTTCTGAGACAAGCCAGAGCTGAAAGGTGAAGAGCCCAGCTTCTGTGTCATAGAGAACGGGATGTGAGGACACACTTTATCACTCACTAGGTCTCTAACTGTGGGCAAGTCTCTGGCTCAGTTACTTTCACCTGCGGGTAGAATCAGGCCAAGAATGGTCACCACCTCACAGAGCATTGCCAAGCACTTAGCCCAGTCCTCAGGAAATGTTGTTAGCACTGAGAGAGAATGCCTGGAAATGTGGTGGCACCCAGCACACCGAAGAAGTGCTCCTAGGAGCTTATTTTCCATTAATACCAGAATACCAGAGTGGTGTAGAATTAGTCTATACGCAGGTGTGATTGCCTCCAAACCTAGGAAAGTGGCTTGCATTTTTAACTGATCATCCTATAAAATAATTCACAAAGTTTGGTGAGCTATTTTTAAAGTTAGTAAAAAAAAAGGCTTTGAGATATATGTATGGAGCTGTGACCATGTTTTAAGAATATTTTAAATATAAATTATGTTTAATACTATTCTGTGGTTTGAAAAAAACAACACTGGGAGACAAATATCGATTTTGGGGATGTAGTGAACTAATCAAATGTCAGAAAGCTACTGAAGGGGAAAAATGCTTTTGAGCTTTCAAGAAATATTACTGATTCGTGTTTGGGAATACTTGGGCAATATCCCCACAAAAAGAACAGTAAACCTGATCCCCCAGGTATCTTGTTTGAACTATATGTTTTGTTACCGTTCTTCCTGGGCCTTCCTGACCTGAGTAAGGTCTTAAAATATCCTCACTGTCTGTGATCTGCACAGGGAATTTGTGATGATGCTTACATATGCCATTAATGAGATCCATGTTTTTCTCAGGAAACTTACAAATGTCATTTCTGAGAATGATTTTTATTTATGTAACACTCAGAATTTGAAATAATTCTACAATCATCTTAAATGTATATTTGCTCCAATATTTTAGAGTAAATTCATATGTTGAATAGTACAAGGTGACAGGAGTCTTCTTGGTTACCTTTTAATTCTAAGATTCTCTGGAAGGAAAAAAGTTATAGTTATTAAAAATATTCTGAAAAAGTCTAATCTTTAATTTCCATGTGTGGTTGGCCAAAGAACATACCAACAAAATTAGCAAGAATGCTAAAAGATAATGATAAAGTTTCTTGTTTTTTATAGCTTTTCATTTTTACAGAGGACCCCCACACCCCAATTGTAACTATATATAGAATGTTTGACTTTGAACCCAAATGTACTGTTGGGTTTTGTTAGAATCATTATCACTATTGTCATCATTGTCTTTATTATTATTTACCATGTATTGTCTGTCATGTTCCCATTATGTTTATTAAAAAAATTAATTATATGGCATATCAGTCAGAGTACACATTTACACTAGGGACATTATTGGCTTGTCAAATGCTTACTTAAGCTATTTTGCCATTGCCTCAAAACAGGCTAGTAACCCTTTGATTCAGATTGGGCTGGGGGATGGGGAAGAAAGAAAGAAAGAGGGAGAGAGGGAGGGAGGGAGGGAGGGTGGAAGACAGACCTATCCAAGCTTACAATTTTTTTTTAAATAATTAGATAGGATTTGACAGGCTACAGCCATTATTAGAAAGAAAAAGCAACAAATTTAAGCCAATAATCAGCTCAAACCCAATAAAACTACTGGTAATGAGTTCTGTAAATCCATTTCAATGAAGACATTTGGAAAAATTAGGCACTGGAACACTTGAAACCTTTGACTGCCCTTGGGAGGCCAACTCTAAAATTTTAACCACAATTATTATTGATTATAAGGCTATCATTAATGGGGAATTCATTTGGCAAATGCTGTGATCCTCTGCTTCCTACTACGTAGGAGCAAAAGTCACACAGGGACGGTACAGGACAGAATGCCCGGGTGCCCACGGAGTCACCAGGATGCCACCGCACACAGCTGGAGCTCACCAAAGTTAGGGGACGCTCTTCTGAACCCTCTTTACCCACTTGGGCAATGCCAATGGAGGGCAGCCACAGACCTTCTTTAAGGCCCTTTGCAGCAACTCAGACATGAGTGACATTCCTTACCTCCAGGGGGCACTAAACACATACTTCGAAGATGAAAGAGCAACCTACTGTGTCTCCCTGCACCTCACAGCCTACAAAATACCATGTCGTATGCACCACTTTTACTGTGGCCCACGATAAACTGTAAATGTTCTCCTGTGTGAGTAGACCACACCGATATGCGTATCTCTCCAAATGACTTGTATTCCTTCACCAACTTCTCTGTACAGGGATGTAGTATTCTACACACTAAGAGCACGCTTTGCATATTCCACTCAGTGTTTATTGATGAGGCTTTTGGTGGCATTCACACTTTTGGAATGGAAAGTTCAGTTTTGCTGTTAAAATCTCAAGCCTTCCTCAAAACAGGTACATGTTTTATTTATTCAATAGGGCTAACGTATCCTTTTCTTGATTAAAAACTCAAAGCCTCAATACTGGTCTTTGAAATGATCAGTTGACATGTGGGTAAA